AAAACCAGTTGTTGGCATGATACGGGTTATGTTCTTCTCATATATTTTATGATGGTATGATACTTAACCTCTAACGGGAGGGATTGTGCTTGATTTTCATATGATGAAGACATAATCTTTCAATCAGTTTAATTGAAGTCTGGAGCTGGCATGTCAGTAACTGCTAGTAGTCCTTTGTTAATTTATGTATCATTGTCATTTTGCTTAGTTTCTTTTGTTACCTATTCTGACATCGGACTCAGACTTCTTTTTAACTCAGTTTTACTGTGCGTATTGCTGTGTGTTTGTTTATTCTACATTGGCTAGAGGTATAGGGGGAGGGTTGAGATCTCACAAAACATGTTTAACCCCGCCGTATTTTTGCGCCTGTCCCAAGTCAGGAGCCTCTGGCCTTTGTTAGTCTTGTATGTTTTTTAATTTTAGTTCATTTATATGTTTTGGAGTTTAGTTTGACGTCCATTTTCACTGAACTAGTACACATTTTTATTTAGGGGCCAGCTGAAGCCCGCCTCGGGTGCGAGATTTTCACGCTGTGTTGAAGACCCATTGGTGACCTTCGTCTGTTTCTGCTCTTTGGTCGGGTTGTTGTCTCTATGAGATATTCCCCATTTCCATTCTCAATTGTATTCAACAGGTATTACAAAATGTAAATTTGACATTATTTCCAGGATATTCTTTATTTTTTATTCAGGTGCTTTTTGCTTCATTTCTGAGAATTCGTCAAAGATATTTATATTTCTATTATATGTGGAGGGACTTTCTAGATGAAAACGTTAATGTCAACTTCCAAGAAAAATCTGAACAAAATCGATTCCAACAGTTAAATTCTGATAAACTAACCTTGACATTTCTAGTTATTACAACAATAGATGTTTGGTTAGACGATGGCATCAACCGATACGATTTTGCAATTGATCCACCTTAAGGATGTTCGCTACTCTTGTTTTGACTTTTTGTCAGATATTCAGAATCCTCTAGTTTTATCCATGTAGTGCCAATGAAAATTTTGCCCGCTAACCCTTACTTTTCTTTTCATAATTTATAGCATATTGTTTTAAAAGCCATTTTTGAAAATCTTATATAACCCTTGTTTTCATAGTTTTTGAAAGGAAAAAGGTGCCAATGTAAAATATATGAAAAATCTAGAGAGAAACGGTTCCCGCCAAATTTTCAAGGGCTTATATCTCGAAAGCAAGCACACGGACCCTTCATATTTTTCTGCTTTTTTATTTATATACTACCAATTTATAAAGTCTTTTTGAAAGCTTGTTATTTTGAAAAAGAGTAGCGAACATCCTTAAGGTCAGTTCCCCCTTTTTATCTAAATAAGTATGTTTTGGCATGTTAGTTTCTGTGAATGATTCGCTTGTATATATATTATTCATATGATGAGTTCATATGGGTATATTCTATTTGTTGGTTCAAAGATTCATCTTGCCTTTTCATTTTTAAAATTCATTCAGTTTATATATGGTGGGTAAAATGACATACCAAATGAAAACAACAATTAATTAATTTCATGCGTCCGAAGCGCTTTTCTGGATTTACCCTCATTAGAAACGTTTCAATACGTTAGTAAAAGACGACAAGGTAATTATTTTTATAAATTAGGAACAAAAGACGATTATAAGACAATTATAAGAGTATACTTCAATAACACAGCAACCAAAGGCACCAAAATATGAAATACATCATTAACAACTGTCATTTATCAAAATAAAATATCATATAACAAAAAACACAGTAGTAGTAGGATTGAAAACCCATGTGTAACCTTCGTTATCAATTTTGACTGAATGTCTGCACACTAATAAATATAGTTATCTCTATCAAACTATTACAAGGTTATATCTGTTAGATATTTTGTGATTTAACATGACATGGACGTCAATTAAGCGGACTTTGGAGGTATTTAAACTCAAATCTTGTAACGTTAATATCATAATTATACACTTTCTTCTGATACAAAGTTTCGTATCAGATCTACCTGGTATTTTTACAGATGATTTATTTAAATCAAATTCAAATATTTAAAAAAAGTAAATTAAAAAAAAAACTGACAAAATCGAGCGCTATCGATCAACGGAAGAAGTGAAAACAACTACATTTTCCATGACTTCGTACAGGCATTTTTCGAAGAAAATAGTGAACCTAGATAAATAGTTAGCTAAACCTCCCATTTGTATGACATTAGTTTATAGTTACGTTATATTGACAAAGTAGGGTTAACAACCCAAACTATCCATAATTATAAATTGAAGAAATATGTCGTTGCATAGGACTTTTCAAGAACATGATGGATTAAAGATTCCATCGAAGATTTGAAACTGTACTGCCTTGGTAACTAGTTACAATCTTTTCAATCTTTCGAAATACTTTCTTCTACCAGATGAAGTACCACCAAAACATAATACGTTACATGTGGTTTCATACGAAAGAGGGCCGAAAAAATAAACCCTTGAATTTGACAATTGTAGGGAGTTAACCTTGCATTTCATTGCAGAAAAAGAATTGTGAGTCATAAACATATATCTTGGGTGTTTCATACCACGATATTTTTTTATTTGGTATTTCTAAAATATATTTTGGAAACTTGAGGTGACATGTTTACTTAAGCTAGTAAAAAGTATCAAAAGGTGAAAATTTGATTGGTTAACTTCCGGTGATGGGTATTTTTTTATCTTATATGCCATGGAATGCTTTGGGAAATTTTCACTGTAGTACTGGACAGGATAAAACTCTACTCATGCCAAGTATTTCATTATTTGAAACAAAGATAAATTCTGCACAATTTTTTGAAAAATGTCAATTTAACAAAAATTAATATGGGAAAAGAATGGTGGTATTACTCATATTCAGGGAAGCTTCACATGCACCTTTGACCTTGTAAGTACTCTTATTTTTTGAAATTTCATGCTATGTCAGTGAAATATTGCAAATATGAAATAGTGGAATTAGTCACCAAAACATAGTTGAGGGAAACTTGCCTAAAAATAGGACTCTACCATGAATATTAGTAGGGAGAGCAAGCCTTACTCAGTGTTTTGGGGAGCTTTTCTGACTTTTTCTCCTTATTTCTTATATTGGGCTAAGTAATTCTTTAAGAAATATATAGTAATAAGTAAATGCAATTTTTTTTGTAGCAGTTACAACAACTTATTTTCTAAAAGGGAACCATTATATGTCCCTAACTGGAACGCGGCGTAAACTTAAGTTTTACGAAAGGACTTGTTAAAACCTTCATGTTAGTAAGCTTTTATATGGCTAGTTCATTCAGCTTGAACACTTCAATTACTCATTCGTTATCAAATTTCATACATAAATGTGTGAAGTTACCCCCAAATTTTGATTTATTAGCCAAAAATTTTTAATTTTGAGGGAATTGATCAAACGAGACGAAGAGGTACATTAGTGGTGTTTATCATCGTAGGATCATCTTTTGGAGTATATTAAACTTTTTATGCAGATTAAATGAATATTTAACATTTATTGGTGAAATTATTGGTCCACACTATATTCTATCATGATGCTGCGATTTTTTGAAGAATATTTGCTCAAATTGCTGTAGATGTCGTCTTACATTTTACTTGATTTCTCTCAAACTATTGAACTGAGTATGACAAAACTTGACAGTTATGCTTGAAATAACAAGTATTTCACAGAAAAATGATTACGTTCGGTTTATTCAACAAAAATGTCTTCTTTTAATTATTGTAATACCACCAAAACATGATACGTCACTTCCGGTTTCGTACGAAAAAAGGTCAAAAAAAATTTTTCCCTTGAATTTGAAATTTGTAGGAAGTTAACCCTGAGTTATAAACATATATCTTGGATGTTTCAAAGCACTTTTTTTTTTAATTTCGTGTTTCTATAAAATATTTTGGAAAATTGAGGTGACCTTGTTACTTAAGATTGTAAAAAGGAAAAAAAAGGTAAATATTTTACTGGTGTACTTCTGGTGATGGTTATTTTCTTGTATGCATTGAAACGTTATGAGAAATATTCACTGAAGTACTGGGCAGGATAAAACATTTTGAACAATGTTTTAAAAATCCAATTTATCAAAAGCTGATAGGGGAAAACAATGGTGATACTACTCCTGGTTACCAGTGCAAAAATGTTCTTTCTTCATGCCGGTCGACCGCCATTAAATTGGCGAGCATTTCCAAAATTTGTTTTAGTTCACTTAATATGTTCCGTCTTTAATATTCCAGCAAACAACTCTAGTCATCCGTATATGAATGCACATATTTTATTCATCTGATTTCGGAAATCAATGATTGTTGAGAACTTCACCATAACTTATCATATATTTGAGAATTAAAGCAAATTTTCGAAAGGTCGAGTTTAATTTTTGTCATACAAATAATCGGCAAAGATATTCAAATATGTTCCGAAACAAATAAAATCTTTTGAATTGTATAAAGTAGACATAGTTTCATTTGCTCTATTCCTTAATTCTGAGAAGTTGTCCAAGATATTTATATTTCTAGTATATGTGACTGAAAAAAAAAACCAGTTATTTATGGGCTGAAATCCGGTCTTTTAAAATTTGTTGTTAATTTCTATTGTGTCAATATTTACTACTACTAATTAAAGTACAAGATGTGCATGCGTTCCTGGAATGAAAATGAACTAGATACTTCACCCTTCCACTGTTGATAAGTTTCATAAAATAAAACCTTAGGTAATAATCATTTTATTATGTACTTAACATATAAAAATACTACCGCTGCGAATAGAAATATGTTCATGATAAGAAAAAAGGTTATGTCATTATTGCCTGGCTATTAATGCAATATAGGACAACAACCATTGAATTTCAAATTTTAATAAGACTTTTATCAACCATGTCGAGAACAACCAAACAGAGATGAAATCTTAAGTTTTGTGACCAACTTAAGTTCTTGATAATAACTGGTTAAATACATCAATCTTTAATAATAGTTAAATTTCGTAAAGTAACACAAATGAATTTTTCAGGTTCTTTCAAAATGACCGATTTGAATCTTTGTGGTCCCTGTGGTTATGCAGAATATACTCAAAGCGCAGAGAAATGGTGTACAGTTTGTGAAGAGGGATTATGCGCAGATTGTGAGAAGGTTCACAAATCTATAAAAACATCTCGAAATCACAGGCTTATATCTATCGAAGACTACCGGCAAATAAAAGATATTTCGGTCAACCTTGACTGTAAAGATCATGATAAGCCACTCGAGCTGTACTGCAAACCACATGACTGTGCAGCTTGTTTAGACTGCGTTACATCTCATCATAGAACGTGTGCTGACGTCATTCCATTAGATAAAGCTGCTGAAAATGCAAAACGTTCAACTGCACTGGCTGATTTAGAGGACACTTTTACCAACACATTAGAAAATCTTCAACAAATGATTACTAATCGTGATTCAATTTTGGAGAAGTTGGATGTCCAAAGGCAAACTATCAAAAGTACAATCAATGAAACACGAGCAAGAATAACGAAAAAGTTAGACGATCTAGAGACAAAATTTCTCCTTGAATTAGACACAAAATATGGTTATTGTAAATCCGACATAGATAAACTTCTTAACCGTCTGAGAAATTGCGAACAAGATCTAAGTTGTCTGAGAGAGCAAACATTGCAATTGAAATCATTTGCATCCGAGGTGCAACTGTTCCTGGGAATCCGTCATATCCATGAAACAGTATTCAAAGACGTAGAATGCGTTAAAGAAAGCTTCAAGAACGTGCAGAATTATGAAATGTACTTTAAGTTAAATCCTTTAATCATGTCATTAAAGAATGATGTAGATCAGATCGGGAACATATCCGTTAAGAAGACTACTACTAGTTTACCGTTCAAAGAAGCAAAGATAGATCAAGCCCAGATACAGGTTATAGAACCCAATGTAAGAGGTATTGATAAAATACGTCTCCAGATGAAGAAAATATTTATAGTGAAGAAAACAAGTTTCTTGTCGTGGTTGTCGGGATGTACCATGTTAACAAATGGTAATTTGTTAATAGCTGATTATAAGGGAGAGCGTGTACTAATGGAGTATAGTGAAGACGGTAAACATATTCGAAACATACCGTGCTCTGGATCCCCGTTTGATGTAACGGTCATAGATTCTGACCGTATTGCTGTAACTTATGGATCATTTAGTAAGTACATCGAGATTTTCAATATAAAGAACAATAATGTTGAGAAAAGAGCTAAATTAAAAAGCCAATGCTATGGAATATCATACAAGAACAACAAATTGTTTGTTATTATTGAAGATGGCATTGTAGTAACTAATATGTTGGGAAAAGTATTGAGCAAATTAGATGTTGAATGTGGATTATACTTAGAAACCACTATGGATAGAATTTATTTCACAATCGAAAAAGATCATACCGTAAATTGTATCTCCATGACCGGTGAGGAACTATGGGTACGTAAGGAGGAATCGTTAGTCGGTCCTAAGGGAATCACTGTTGATGATCATCAAAATGTGTATGTTGTTGATATCAAATCTAATATGCTAGTAGTGATACAGCATGACGGGAGCTCCAGTAAAACAGTACTTACCAAAGCTGATGGTCTAGACCAACCGCAAACATTGCACTACAACAGAGATAAAAAAGTGTTACTCTTGTGCAACAACCATGAGTGTGCTGCCATATACAATCTTGAGTAGTTATATATATTTTTCAGCCATTCGTATATATAAAAGCAGTGAACATACTGAAAAGAAAGCAACAAACAAGCCAATGCGTGACTTTAGGGAATAACTGAATATAAATGTTTGGGTTCAAAATATCGTTAACTTGACCGTCGTTTTCTTTATAGCTTTTGAAATAAGAAGAATGTTATACTCAGTCGAAAGCTGAAGTCATTGCTCAAAAGGCTCAATTTTACTCTTTTTGCATTAATGAAGGTTATTTTGAAAATTGAAATAGATAGAAAGAAACAACTATCATCAGCAAGACGAAAGATACAAATACGTCTATTGATAACAATTGTCAATGGATTGCTTATAGGATTAATTCCCATTAAACGACGATTTTTACTTACTTTTGCGGAAATTTTTATTGAAATTTATCAATGAAAGCAAAAATAAAACAAATGGAAATAATTAATTAACAATTTTCGTTCATCTGGGTATAGTTTCAAGCTACTAATGGACGAAATTAGTGCAAAAGTGTGTTTTTCCGGTTTCCACCAGGTCATGTCCAGTTGCCCTTTTTCAAGGTCAAATGTTTTTGAACCTAATGCAAAAGACCTCATGGGTTTACATGTATCATATATAAATATGAATCTCATAAATGCAGTAAAAGGGTTATAACTTCTTAAATGTCATCAGAATTTTTTGAACTCAATATATCATATCATATCTTCGCCATAATGTCCCAAACATTTTGCTACATTTCTTTCTCTGTCTCACTCTTTCAGATTAAATGGAATTAAATAACAAGCAAGGGTTAAAATATAGAACGTCAAATTGGCCTTTGAATTTGATCTTAATATATTAAATACCCTTTATGTCCCTAGTTACAGGTTCATACTAAATGAGAAGTCGTTATCTTGCATGTGGACATGATGCTGCGTTAAAAGTTGATCTTTACTTTAATATTCTCATGAATCCACGTTTACTGTCATAGTTTAAAACGGAGAGTCTATATGCGGACCCGTATATGTTTTGAAAATGACACGCTCAATCGTTAATAAAAAAACACCTTCTGCAGATTTCCTAAATAAAAGGAGGCGCTACAGTAGGCTTAATTTCCACTCTTCTTTTTGTGTAGTATTAAAAGTGTATTAACCCCTTATTTACGTGTTCACTTTTTCGACAGTGTAAAATGTTCTAGACCTGAATTGATACATCCATCAATCTGTTGATCTTTTTGTAGCACTAAGAGAGAGCTTTGTTTCAATGTCGTTTTGTCTGGCGACTTGGGGGGTAGTGTTTGAGATGGAATCCGTGATGGGAACACAATAGAGCAACTATAAAAGGAGAGATTGGATGTCCCTACCAAAGTAAAATAACAATAATTAACCCAAACAAAAAACTCCAAGGAATATTCAAAACGGAAAGTCCCTTATCAAATGGCAATATCAAAAGCTCAAACACATCAAACGAATGGAAAACAACTGTCATATTCCTGACTGTACAGGCATTTCCTTGAGTAGAAAATGGTGGATTAAACCTGGTTTTATATCTAGCTAAACCTCTCACTTGTATGACAGTCTCATAAAATTCCATTAAATTGACAACAATGTGTGAACAAAACAAACAGACATAATAAATAAAATGTCAAAAATAGGGGTACAGCAGTCAACATTGTGTTTTAGTCTTAATCACTATAAAAACAAACAAATATGCCAACAAAGAAAAACATAATGGCATATAGACAAAGCACATGAGCAAAAATGAAAGAGAAGAATACAAAAAATGACCATAGCAAAATAACACAATGGCAGGATGTATTAATACCGAGCCACGCCAAAAGGATATTACCAAAAATGGACAAAACAGTAAAGGTTTGCCACAATCAATCTTTTCTTCAGTTCTATGGTGATATATCTTATTGTTTGATCTCATTCACAGCAACCGAATAGATGTGTTGAAATACTTATTCATTTCGTTCTGCCTAATCAAATTGTATTTGCATTTCAAACAACTACCACATTGTTCAGTCATTTAAGTAAGCTCTGGTTTTAATGGAAAATAAATTTTGCATGTAGCGTCTAAGGTGGTCACTTACGATTGTATGAACGTTGGTTTAGTTTTGTCTAAGCGTATTTACAAAGTAAACTACAATGTTACAGTTATGACTGGAAATGCAATGGCAATTTCTCATGAATGTTTTCAATTAAACGGGTTATACTCTTGTTGATTTACGTAAACCCTGAAAAGCTGCTTGCAACAAACAAATTGACTTTAAAACATGAAAAACATTGAAAATCTAGTTTATTTTATCCTTCATAATTGAGCAATTTAAACAAAGCACATCGGCGTAGGTATCAAGAAGATAGCGTCACAATGCCAACATCGCACTTTAGGGTGTTGAAAAACGCATTTTAGCGTTCCGGTTGGGGTTTGGAGTACCACCGTGGTTCAAAGTCATACAAACATACGTCGAATATTGAGTAGAGACAATTATTAACTTTTACTATTACAAGCCGCTTCAATGGTCGTATGGTAATATGGTCGCCTTCAGTGCCAGAAGTTGTGAGTTTGATCACCGGTCGAGTCAAACCAGACTTGAAAAATTTGATGATTCCCCATCAAGTACGCGGCATTAAGGAGTAATAGCAAAGACTGGTCGGTTGATAAATAAAAAAAAATGTGTCCGGGTATGGTAACATGTCTTCTTGTGGATTGTTTTCTTGTGAACTAGCACGTAAAAATCCGGATCGACGTGTTGGTCTAGCACAAAGCAGGGTTCATGTTCAAATCATTAAAATATTTTGGCCCTGAAATGATGTTAAACACCAAATCATCATCATCATCATCATCATCATCATCATCATCATCATCATCATCATCATCATCATCATCATCATCATCATCATCATCATCGGCTTCTTCAATCCAAAAATTTGCAAATTGACTAATGATCCAGTAACTTCCTTGTTCGCCTATCATAAAAGTACTGACGGTAAATGCATGCTCTTTTCTGGTAAAAGAGATGTATACTAAAATATGATTTTTGTTATAACGTTTAGTGGCAAATATTATATGCATACCAGGACGAGAACATTTGCTCTGAATATGAACATTGCTTCGTACTAGACCGACTATGGACGTTGTTCACATGAATCTAATACAAGTTTTCAATTCTTGTTTTTCACTTTTAATATTCATTGTGGGTTCATTTGTTTAAAACAAGCCTTATTAGGTCAGTTACAAAGTTAAATTGGTTACACAATAAGTGGTCTTGGAAAATATAACCTGTTTTGAAAAAAGTACTTGTAATAAATATATATACAATATATGTACATTGTCGGAAAATATAAAATTTATTTGTATGAGCTTTAGAAACAGGACGAAAAGCGAGGCTCGCCGAGCTTTTCTCCTGTTTCGCAGCGAGTACAAATACATTTTATATTTTCCGACAATGTACATATATTGTTTTTATCCTGAAATTTACACCCAACACTTGAAACTTTAGTTGTTAAAATCTGAATCATTGTCTCTAATTTTCAAAGAAATCGACACAGTTTAAACGCGGACCGCGAAGAGGACCCCAAAATGAACTGGTACGCAAAAAGAAATGTTCACATTACCGCTTGCACAACATGGCAGCCAATAAAGCAAAAATTTATTTGTGTACCTGTTATTTGTACAATAGTTAGCTGATTGCAGGATAAAAAAAAGTGAATTTCATCCTTGTAACCCTCGTAACCAATATGACCAAGCATTTTGCGATTAAATTTTTGAAGTCTTTATATCATTACCAAGCACTTATAATTGTAAGTGGACATGGGAATGAAGCCTGTTATGAAAATTAAACCCAACTAAAAATCAGAAGTGGATGATACACGTGTAAACATCGAAACCAATGTAACCAAGCAATTTTCAGATTCCAATTTTCAGTAAAAAAACACTGTTACCAAAGTGTTTTCTTTGCAACCCTTAAACGGGACGTCAGAAAGAATCCTTTATCAAAAGAAACCTCAAATCTAAAACAAATATTGTCATCATATGTCAAATATTTGCATTGCAAAATACAGGAAACAGGTCAAACATTCAGACAATAATACGGAACATAAAGATATTTACTAGATAAACTTGTCATGATATAAGGTACAAATATTGTAAATAATTCGGATGAACTGCAATACAATTTCGATAATGAAAAAGGAAAAACAAAAAAAAAGAAGTTGTACACATGTGCATACGAGAAGTGAAAAGGGGGTATAAGATACCAAATTTGCAATAAGTAAATTGAATCACAAAGTCAAATACGGTTGCAAATATATTTGATAGATGCTTTTTGTGCTTCTTTGTTAAATGTTTGTTTGTTTTGAGATTGTGTCACAGTGATGACTGCTGTACCCATATTTTGACAATGTTACCTATTATGTCTGTTTTGTTCACGCATCGTTGTAAATATAATGGAATTTGATGCGACTGTCATACAAGTGATAGGTTGAGCGCTATAAAACCAGGTTCAAGCCACCATTTTCTACATTTGAAAATGCCTGTACCAAGTCAGGAGTATGACAGTTGTTGTCCATTCGTTTGATGATGTTTTATCATTTGATTTTGCCATTTGATTAGGGAATTTCCGTTTTGAATTTTCCTCGGAGTTCAGTATTTTTGTGATTTTACTTCTTGCTACTGAAAAAATCCGTGTCCAGCTTGAGCAAGGGAAGGTCTAACTTTACACACTGGAATATATTTAAACTGCAAAAGATGTAATTGCTGAAATTAAACTGTTCTTCAGCAAAAGCCCAATAGATGAAGTCTGAGACCTTCATATTTGGAAAAGGTTGATGATTGAGGATATCTTATGATATTTGGTTTTGTAGGTCAATTGTGAATGCACATGTTTTTTTGAAAAACATTTCTCCTTGGGCTTGAGTTATCTGTTACGATTCTAGTTTTGTTTTAAGTCAGGTAAATAACTTTCAAATAGCGATAAAATCTTCTAAATTCTACTTAGTTAAAATATTTCGACAGTTATCATATAAAAAATCAAATCAATTAACTTCAAGCATTGTCCAATTATATAGGGAATAGTTAACTCATGCAAAAAAAATCATATTCCGTATAAATGAGGCTGTTCCGGAATTTTGTTTATATAGCTTGCCACTGGTCACGCCTGACTTTAACTCTTCCCAAACCTTTAAACGAAACTCAGGCAGGCTTGAGTACAAGGCAACTAGACCTGACGAAAACTAGGACCGTCTATTAAAAAGATAATCATCAATGTATTGATACACCTGTGCCGTCCTCCTGACAATATTAGTGGCTGGTGTTTCATTTGATGGATTTGAAGAGTTACACTGAAGACAACCTGGAAGGACACAAATTGCACCGTCATTGGAGACAATTCAGTCCATG